CCACTTCCGGTTTTCTGGTGGTTCATTGGCGATCAGAGTCTCGCAGACTCTCCTGCCCGGGCTGGCTTTGAACTGCGATCCTCAGGTCTCAGCCTCCTGAGAAGCTGGGCTGACGGGCGGGAGCCACCAGCTCAACCCACCTTCGCTGTATCCACCAGCGCAGCACCGATTTCCTGTGTTCAATCCACCCTCCCACCTAGGCTCCTGAGCAGCTGGGCCTACAGATGGGCGCCGCCATGCTCGTCCATTAAAGAAAAATCTATTGCGTCCTGCATTGTATCTCTACGGGGTATTAAAGACCGTCTGACCATCCCAGCCCGCTGCTGGTCTTCCCGGGACAGGCTCTCTTGGGCTCAGCAGGTCTTCCGCCCCGTGTCTAAACGCACATGGTGATCCCGTACCCCGCCTCGGAGTCCCAAGTTTGCTTGACACAAACTGCACACTGCAAGCAGCTCACACAAGACCTCGCAGGTCACTTCCGACCCTCACCACCCCTCACTTCCCTCTGCACAAGTGAGTCCCAAGGTTACTGACACACGCCTGACAGCTCACAGGACCTCACATAGGAACAGAGAATGTTCCTAATACTGCGAGAGTTCAAAGTTTATGTTTTGGTGTCACTACTAGAGCTTGAACTCAGGGCCTGGGTGCTGTCCGTTAGCTTTCTTGCTCAAGGCTGGTGCTCACGCACTTGAGCCACAGCTCCACTTTTTTTTTTTTTTTTTGGCTGCTTAAGAGTCTCATGGACTTTCCTGCATGGGCTGGCTTTGAACCTCAAATCGTCACATCTCAGCCTTTGGTCAAAGGCATTTTTAAAAGGCAAGAAAAGAACAGTTATGTGGGACATCTTTTCCCCCAAATCTCTGGAGGCGGAGGTCTAACACGGGGACCATGCACGTGGGACCCCAGCTCGGTTAACCAGGGCAAGGGGTGGGAGCGTGGGTCCGGCACATCCCAGCAAGGCTGGAAGGCCAAGATGCAAACCACTGCCCCCTTTCCTCCCTCGGCCCGCCTCCTGCGGGGCCAACCTGTGTTCGTGGGCCAGGCATGAGACCCACTGCGTTTGGTCCTCACAAGGCGCCCCAGTCTCCAGCTGGCAAGCGATCCAAGGGACCAGTGGTGAGGAGGCCAACCAGGCTGGACTGTAGGGCCCTGGCCTGGCATTTCCGTGACCCGGGGCGACAGCAGCCCCCGAAGGCTGGGTGTGCTGGGGGAGGTGGGGGGGGGCCTCACCATCAGCCGGGCATGGTTGATGTTCCAGGTGAAGGTGGTCATGGTCTGATTCTGTGGGTCCACAATCGAGTCCTCCAGGATGTACACCGAGTGAGCAACATTGGCAGGAAACAGTCGCTCCGCCCAGCGGGGCATCCTGTTGGTCTTGGTCAGAAGTCTCCGGGACAGAAGCTTCTGGTCGGGGGTGACCTCCCGGTGCACTATGTCTTCGGTCAAGACATGTTTGCTGCACGCGCAGAGGAAAGGGCGATCCTTTTCCAGGAGGCCTGAGGCTGACAGGCGGCCTGTGGCCGGTTCCCCTTGCGGGGAGTGGGGGGGGGGG